TTTGTTATGGACACAAATACGGAGCTCTGTAATGCCTCTATCACTTTATTCATTTGTTGAAACATCTCAGTGGGTATTCTGTCAATTCCTCGAAATTTGTTTTTTGCCAATTCCTCAGTGCAGGTTGGACTTCTTCTGCACCATTGCTTCTTGACCATATGCTACCTCCTGAAATGGCTGAACATTGACCAGTTCTTTTTACTCCTGTAATTCTATCTATTCTTTCCATCTTCTTTTGAAGCTTCTACATTTTCAGTGTTTTGTCCAAAGAATCCTTTAGTATTGTAATTCGAGGCCTGAACATTTTCCCTTTTGGTTTTCTAATTTCAGGTCTTTGTATATTTCATTGAATTTTTTTGCTTTGTCTTCTTGAACTGCACATTGAAATATTCTGTTAATTCTTTTCGTTTAATCATTTTTTCTATCCACTTTAGCTACTCTGGAGCAAGTACTCAGGAGCAAGTTTCAGAGTCTCTTCTGACATCCATTTTGATCTTATCTTTCTTTTTTGTCTTTCCTGGCTTTTGCTTTCTTGATGTATGCTGTTCTTCATGTCATTCCACAGTCCATCTGGTCTTTGGTCATTGGTGTTTAATGAGTGAAAATCTGTTCTTCATATTGTCTCTAAATTCAGGTGGGATATACTCAAAGTCATGTTTTGGCTCTCCTGTGCTTATTTTAGTTTTCTTCAGCTACAACTTGAACTTGTATATGAGTATTTGGTGGCTGTTCTACAGTCACCTCCTGACCTTGTTTTGACTGATGATAATGAGCTGCTTCCTCACCCCTTTCCACAGATGTAGTCGATCTGATTCCTGTGTATTCCATCTGGCAACATTCACATGTATATAAAATCACCATTTATGTTGGAAAAAACGGTATTTCAATGAATAAATCATTGGTCTTGCAGAATCCTATCATGTTGTCTCTGTCATCATTTCGTTCACCAAGACGTTGCTTTCTAGTTACCAATGCTGCTGCTGCTTTGTTTCTAGCTTGACATTCCAATCACTAGTAATTAACAGTACATTTTGATTGCATGTTTGATCAATTTCAGATAGCAGAAATTGATAAAACTCTTTAATTTCTTAATCTTTTGTTTTAGAGGTTGGTGCATAAATTTGAATAATTGTATTATCAACTGGTCTTCTTTGTAGGTTTAGGGATATTATCCTGTTACTGACAGCATTGTACTCCAGGATAGATCTTGAAATGTTCTTTTTGATGACAACTGTGATACCATCTGTCTTCGTTTGTTTTTCTCAGCATAGAAACTGTATGAGTGTCTTAATTCAGAATGGCCAATACCAGTCAATTGGAAGTTGTCAAAAAGGAAATGGAACGCATAAAGATTGATATCCTCGGCATTAGTGAGCTGAAAGGGACTGGTTTTGGCCATTTTGAATCAGACAACCATATGATCTACTATGCCAGGAATGACAGTTTGAAAAGGAATGGCATGGCATTCATCAT